AAATCTCGTCAATAGTATCTTCATAACATTCATTATCACTAAGATTATATTTATCAGTATCCAAATCAGAATCTGACGATGTAATTTTATTTATGCTTCTCCTTCCGGGCAATCCGATCTCTTTTCATTATTGAAAAAAAATAAGGGCAAAGATTTTAAGTTATACCATTCGGTACTCGGCAAAGATTCCAACTGTTCATGCAGGAACAGAAACAGATATGAATTAACAGCGCACGCTTCCTATAGCGGCACGGGTGGCTTGTAGGAGATTTTGTTGTAAATACGCGTGGCAGTCAACGTGTTAAGTGAGCAAGAGACGTGATTGGGTGGAGCGGACGACCGGACCCCTTGTTCCTTGCATCGATAAGCTTGTGGGTTTTCTCGATTACCAATAGAAGTGGGTTTCGAGAGATCATACGAAACTGGGGACTACGGGCGTGCAGGTCAGGCGAAACGAGCGAAATACTCCCCTTGCTCCTCTGCCGAAACAACTGATTTCTTCTGAGCAACGGACGGTGCTTACATAGTTCGCAACAATTAATGTTTGTAAACACTATCTTGGACGGAGGCAACTGCGATAGAAGAATAGACGACAACTAGTCCTTTACAAAGATGAACAAATTGTAAATCCGATTTTTTTAAAAACAGAGCTCCGAATAAAAAAATGTTATACCAAATTTGTTTCTTATTTTTTCGCGTTTAGATTTTACGTATGATTTAAATGACTCTTGCAATACAGATATAATCTATAATTCTAGATGAAAAAGTGAAGCATAATTTTAGTAAATAAGATCATTTATTAATCGTTTATTTTAATGTAAATAGTTTTATTAATAATTTTATATAAGTAGTTTTATTAATAATACATTATGTGTTATTAACCAAAATCTTTTTTAACTGACACCTAGTACATTTCATCTGCACTGCAAATTATTTACGTAAAATCTAAACGTTAGACATTCAGTTAAAATATATTAAGAATCGGTTGACGTTGTTATGAGTTACAACGAATTAAAGATCGCAAAAATCGCAGTTTTGTCATGATTTTTGTCACTTTTGACCAAAAACTGTAAAAAATCTTGAAATCTTTCAACGCCTGTGGCTTGACTCTGGGTTAACCAGATTCGATCAAATTTTCAACACCCCGAGATCTACGAAAGGTAATTTTTAAAAAATTTAAATTTTTATTATAGGCTCAGATAAAAAATTAAAAAACGTCGGTTCCTTTCCTTATTTTTTTGTTATTCCAAGTAAGAACAACATTAAGCAAAAGCATTTCAGTCAATGTTTAGTGGACCAGCCTCTGTATCATCTAAAAAAAAATTCATTCTAAGTCGGTGAAATTATCTTGAATTTAGAGTTAAATACTATAAATATAATATAATACATACATATAATATATATAATACATATACACAATATATAATATATAATATATACATATAATATATATAATACATATACAATATATAATATATAATATATACATATAATATATATATATAATACATATACAATATATAATATATAATACTTAAATATAATATAATACAGATGTCTGCGGCTGCAAGAAAGAATGCCGCAAGTTACATGTTTTCACTTCCGAGATATTGTCGCTTAAAGTTTTGATCACTGATGTTTCGTACAAATTGTGTTTCAAATTGCAGAATTTTGTTTGTGTCTACAGAATTTGTTTCCGCGATGTTTTGTCTGACAAATACGTAAGTAAAATGCAAATACAAATACTACAACTACTAATACTTTTTTTGTGTCTGTAGAATTTGTTTCCACGATGTTCTGTCTGACAAATACGTAAATAAAACGCAAGTACAAATACTACAGTTTAATTAATGCATTAACATAAGTTTTTCGAAGTTGTGACTTGCAGCATTTTTCCTTACAGTTAAATAGAAATCACTACTCCCAAGTCGTCAAATGGAGAACACTAGTCCCAATGTCATACTATCCGGTCAAACTCGACACACTCTACTTGTCCTTCGCTGTTAGCGACTCTGTTCGTTCACATCGGGAAAAATGGTAAGTGAAATAGTGAAAAGTAGGTAGAGAAACGGTGAAAAAACGGTGAAAAGTGGCGAGAAACGTCAAGAAACGACGAAAAATCGGCGTTTCCGGTGGCGAGATCGGTAGCCGGTCCGTGAGGATCGCGCGAGCGGCTTCGCGGGATACACGGCGTGCACGGTAGCCGAAAGAAGTGACGTTCGTGACACCGGAGATGCGTTAAAGGGGCTCGTTAAAGGTCCGTCTCCCGGTCGTTAAGCATTGTTTAGCCGCTCCTGGACGCGCACGGCTCCGGCGACCGGGTAAACCAGTCCGGTGTCCGCCTGGCCGGATCGGTACCCGCTCGTTCCTCGCGGGACGAACGCTTCGGAACGGGGGGGAAAAAATGAAATAGAAAGTGGTCTGTCCGGTGCAACGATCTACAGTTTGTTGAACGGTTCGAGGCGCCTCCAACTGGACCCTTACCCCCGACGTGTTCCTGTTCACCACGCACTATAGCGAATCCGCGATGCTCTCTTCAAGGCTTCCGCGGCATTGTGCTCGCATTTCTCGTGCGGTTGTCGACTCGGAAAGTATCTTCTGGTCAAGTCGTCGGTAAGTCGTAGCCGGGCTCTAAGTGCAACTCCTCCGACCCTTCGGTCTCCCGTCGATCCTCTGCCAGAGGATCCGCTTTAACATCGAGTTCCTCCGAATTTTCTGCTATCCGCTCGCAATCGCGCGATCTCGCGTTACGATCGAGTCGTTTGAACTCGATCGCCATTCGAATCCGGCGTTCCCGAGCGTAACGAGGCGATCGGTGTTCTCCATTAGATCGGTTGCGAAGGAAGCTGTGCCGATCGGCGGACGGGGAAGGGGACAGGTCTCGGTTGACGTTTTCCGCGCCGCGAATGGCTGGTTCCGTGCGCAGCCCGATCTCATTCCCCGTTGTTCTGTCGCAGGTTTAACTAAATTTTCGGACCCCGTCGAAAAGTGAAGAAAAATCTGTAATCTCGCAACATGGCGAACATTTTGGCACTTTTGGTGATCACCCTAGCCTGCGCGGTCGTCCACGCCCAGCAACAACCCAATCAAAAACGTAAGTAGCTCGGTCATCGCCGATTTCCTTGTCGATTTATTATTAAATTGTGATAATGCGTCGATCTGACGTGTATATATCTCTCATGCGTGAGAGAATGAATATGAAATGATAAAGTGTACAGAAAATAAAAGGGAACAATTTATCTGAATCGGGTGCAGGCGTTACGAGTGCAAATTACGTTGAAATTCGAATGCAGATTTACGTTCTTACGGAGAACGAGGAATCCGTAATTGATTCTCGGTAGTTCGCTTTAGTCATTGCTGCTGACTAACAACGAATGCATTTTCTTTTTTGCCAAGCGACACGATCCGAGACTGTTCATGCGCGAACCACGATTCCATTCTCTCTGACCTCTTATTCTTGCCTCGCGTTCGTCCTCGTATTACGATACCATTCTGTCGAAACGCGACAATTTCCAAACGCAGTCGCGTCTCGAATTTCGTTCGCCGTTCCAGCCGATTTTATTCGTTTTCTTCGCATTACAGCCGTTTTTGGTCAAACGTTTGACGAAATCGTAGTCTCGTCGGACCTCAACGTTCGCAGAAAGTCTAAAGAGAATCGCCAGGGCAAAAGATTGACAAACATACCATCGGGCACCACCGGCCCGCCCGAAAAGTCCACCGCAGTCGCATCTAGGTTCGTCGCCAACGATGGAATCCGCATCACATCGGAAAAAAAGCATCAGAAACGCGAAACTTCGGCTCTTCGGAAAAGGTGAGCCGGTGAAAGTACACGCCAATGGGAGACAAGCTGCATCGGTTTCACTTGATCGACGCGAATGCCGTTGTATAATTAAGTTTCACCTTCGCAGTTCGCGCGACGAGCTCTGCTCCCAAGGCGATCGCGGCCGTCCCAATGAAACTCCACGTTTGTTTCAGGTATCTGGACATGGGCGTTGCAGGATACTTACTGAAATCTCGAAAACGATGAAAATTCCACTCCGAGGACAACCGCACGATCCTCATACAGCCATCCCGACCATACCCTTTCGGCTCACTTTCGGACCCAGGCCTTGTAACAAAAAGTGTAATAAAAATTTTCTGTGTCACAGCAACCCCGACTCGGCTACCTTATTTCAACCTATATACCGAACAGTTTATAATCGTTCAAGCGTGATTGCTACCATCGTTATGTTGTCTTCGTTATGTCAGGGTGATAGGGTGATATTATAATAGGGGCTCAGTGTGCATACAGTTTCACGCGAAAGCGTGAAAGCGTGTCGAACTTCCATTCGACAATCCATCAAAGTTTTCATTCTTGGACAGCAGTGCTTGGATCCATTTTGAATCGACGTTCTTCAAGCATTATTTAGTTACTCGGAATTTGGCGGTCAATTTAACTCTTCGAAGACCGGGTGAACTCGTGAAGAAACATTGTGTTGCGTCGATTTTTTAATGTTATTTTACTTTTTTTATTATTTCGGAGGAGTACATGTGTTGTGTGCTCATGGAAGAGTTAAAAAGAACAATCGAAAGATGGCCATGTCACAGGTGTGCAGCCTGAAACACTAAACAATCGAGTGGCTACCAGTCTTCCCTTCTGTACTGCTAATTCAAAGTACACACGTTATGCGAGAATGATCATGATGCTATTATATGTGTGGTTGCAAGGAAGAAGGCCGCACGTAAAATGTTTCACTTTCGAGATATTGTCACTTAGGTATTGACAATAGCGTTTCCCTGTTTTTATGAACCTAACCAATTTCTTTCCATGATGTTTTTCTGATAAATATAATTACTTTAAATAAGATTTAAAGATAATTTTAAGTAAAAAATCCTTTATTCTAACGCTCAGTTAATGTATAAATTAATATTTTTTAAAAATTCTAACACGCGATGTATCGCCCTGTAGTCACAAATATGTCAAAAGAAATTGCAATCGGAGCAAAAATAATTTGTTTGAAGTAACAGATTGACGCATTAACCCTTTGCGGCCTGGAATATTTTCCTCTTTCTACGTCAGAATTTGCTGTAATATTGTGTAATCACATCCCTATACGATACTATACAATCTATTTAGAACAATTGAGAAATACTATAGTTGTTTTTACATACCAAAATTGTGGTCATGAATATAATTCAAATCAGAAAAATAAATACCTATATCTACAATCGAGTCTGCCTCGATATAGGACCGCAAGGGTTAAAACCTAACTATCATAATAATAATAATAATAATAATAATAATAATAATAATAATAATAATAATAATAATAATAATAATAATAATAATAATAATAATAATAATAATAATAATAATAATAATAATAATAATAATAATAATAATAATAATAATAATAATAATAATAATAATAATAATAATAATAATAATAATAATAATAATAATAATAATAATAATAATAATAATAATAATAATAATAATAATAATAATAATAATAATAATAATAATAATAATAATAATAATAATAATAATAATAATAATAATAATAATAATAATAATAATAATAATAATAATAATAATAATAATAATAATAATAATAATAATAATAATAATAATAATAATAATAATAATAATAATAATAATAATAATAATAATAATAATAATAATAATAATAATAATAATAATAATAATAATAATAATAATAATAATAATAACTGCACCTCTGCATTCGAGTGATTATGCTTCGACATTTGTGATTATGAATTAAAAAGATATTGATATTGATATTGTTGTAAGATGGTCGGGAAATGATCTGATGGGAATTAAAGTTCTTGAAGAGGGGTAAAAAATCATGAGCGGGCAGCTCAGCGATCGCAGGACATGCGGCATGGAAAGATGACGCGAGACAGTCGTTTAAAATATTTAAAATCATTCGGCGCTCGTTTCGAATGCACCCTTATAGACAGCGCGTCACGATTCCACGATAAGTTCGTGGCGACGCTGGCGAATTGTCAAGCATTCCGTGTCCGGCAGCGAGCTGAAAAAATCGGTTGGGCTGAAATATGGCGGGCCGTGGTCAAAAGGCAGCCGCCATTGTGATTCCCGCGCGACGATGCACTGTGCGCCGATGCACCGAGCGAAGATGCACCGCGCTGTAAATGCTCACGTGACACTCCGCCCCCGTGGCACGTGACACGCACGTCCAAATCCTTTCGGGACTTTTTCTCAGTAGTTTTTTTCATCTTTCAGCATCTTTTCAATGAAATTACCAAATGGTTCGATCATTCTTTTCAATTCGACTTATTATTATTATTATTATATTATTATTCAAGTTTTCAATTTCATTGATAGCTTCAATTATAAAATGTGAAAGAAATTGTTCAAGAAACCGTATACTAAAAGGATTTAATTCTCTGGTTATAAATAACAATTACAATTAAGTGTACATTTTGTTTGTTGCTCGTAATCGATATTTACGATGACAATCTTAATTCAGTCATTTATAATAATTATGATAAGGAGAACTTATATGAATTATTTATACTTTACAGTTGTCGATAAGGAAGATTTATTTGTTCGCATAATCGATATGTTTGGACAATAAAACAGACCCAGTTTGTAACGATAATACAACCTAAAATTATTTATTAAATACAAGAGTATCTACTACTGTTGTAATTTGAAATGTGATATATACATATTAAACGAAATATAATAAATATCTTTTTGCATCATAGATTATTGTCTGATGTATATAATGATTACGAAACACTGGTTCGCATAACCAAAATTCGGATAATTGACACTTTACTCTGTATTATAATACAAATTATTATGTTATTGCTGCGCAGAAATCCATCTCGAAAGAGTTAAGGCATGTTGTTCAGACTTCGATGAAAGTGAGAGTGACGAAGCAATTGCAGGACATTGAGCGTATCTTATAACTTATTCCGCTAATCTCTCTTTTTTATTTATTTTATGCAGTTTTATTTAGAAATCTGGGGATTTTTAAATCTTTTGACACCTGCAATTCGACACTGCGACAACCGATTTCGACGAAAGCAATAACATTTAACACTAAACTTACATCAGGCTGATCAAAATGATCGTTTTCCCCTTTTTTATTTTAATATTGCTAAAATTGTAAGTATGCATTAGTGGGAAATGGTTGAATAAATTCCTTAATCCAAGCATACGTTCTAACCGAAATGAGGAGATGTCTAAACAAATTCAGTCTTGTCATTCTCATAAAGCAACAAAAGTTTTGCAGTTTTACTGCTCGGTAGGGTTAGCGTTAAACAGTTGTCCTAGGCTCAGATGAAAAAGTTGACTTTTTTAAAAGTTCATTTTTTATTGTTTCAACCAATGAAATTGTAAGTATGCATTACTGGGAAATGGTTGAATAAATTTCTTAATACTTTGAATTAATATTCCTTAATCTAATTTCTTTCTAATTTACTTTCTGTTCTAACAGAAATAAGGAGGGGTCTAAACAAATTCAGTCTTGTCATTCTCATAAAACAACACAAGTTTTGCAGTTTTAGTATACGGTAGGGTTAGCGTTAAATAATTGTTCTCGGCTCAGATGAAAAAGTTAAAAAACCCCTATTTCTTATTTTTTTATCGTTTCAAACAATTTGCAATTTTTGAAAAAGTTTGCACATTGTCTGGTAAACTAGTCATTTTATTATCACGAAAAAATTCGAGTAATTGGGTCCAATTTTTAGAAGGATTTTCGAAAAATATTCGAATACTTTCGCGTGAGCCACTGTACAGTAATTACTCCCTAATTCGCGCCCAGAATGCGCACAAAAATGGACAATTTGGGAAGAGGAGATACAATCGTTCGAGCCTTGCGGCTCGTTTTTATAGTTGTTAATAATCGGTAACTATAAAAACGAGCCGCAAGGCTCGAATAATCGTATCTTCTCTTCCCAAATTGTCCATTTTTGTGCGCAATCTGGGCGCGAATTAGGGAGAAATTACTATGTTTAGTGACCGTGACATCGCGTACGAATGAAACATAGAGACTTAGACTAAACCGATAGAGGGGAGTTTTTCGAATCTAGAATCGCAATAGGCAGAAACAGGCTGCCGCTCGTTAATTCGCAAAACAATCGGACCCCCGTCGTCGCACGGGAGATTTTATTCATGCGAGGGAAGGGATTTCGTATTCCGCGCGTCGTCCACGGCTAGTACTATATATTTTATGGTGAATTCGTGGTCAGACTGATAGGCACAGCGACGTGACAAAGTGTTCGTCATACTTTTGATTTGACACGCGTGTCGTCGCTGTTATCAACGTCCACGGGGACGTTGATTTAAGGCGACGAGTTCAAAGCATCGTCTGATCGGTGCGGCGCGGCGCCTCTACGAAACTCGTAAACAACCCTTACGTCCGACAAGTTTGATCCAGCTTCGTCCTCGACTTGTTCTCGGGCTGAACGATTGACAAAGATCAGTCGAGAAGATTTTCTGTTGTCATTGAGGCGAGAATTCGTAATACGATAAATCACGCACGATACACGATTTAATAAACTTATATAGGATACTATATAGTATATACTATATATTATATACTGTGTAGAATATAGAATACCAGAGTCCTTTAGAACACTGGCAATACCAGAATGGGACAAAATTTTATTCAGATGACGGATGAGAAATAAGGATTAACGAATAGAATTTGATTCGACATTATCGAATAAATATCTAATCGAATAGAAATTTATCTTGATAACAATTCATCCGAATAAGAAGTTACTTGTTATTCGAATAAGAATTTATTTGTACAGGAATTTATATAGAAAATAATCGATTTCGATTATTCGTTTATCGATTAGTTTCTTCCATGTTGATTTTTACAATCAACTGTCTTCTCAACTGTTACATTGGAAAGTTTGTTAATGATCTTTCTTAGGGTGCAAAGGAAGTAATCGTCCACTCCATGATTCATATTTATGCACATATGCTTAAAAAATGACGAGAAAACACAGTCAACGATTATTCGCAACATTATTCGAATAAATAGACAGAACAGTTTGGTAGGAATAATGGAATAACTGTTTCTCAAACAGTTATTATAAGAATGAATAATTGTTACAATAAAGTTGTTTCATCTTACAATTAACTTAATCTTTTGATTATGACATC